GGGGCGGGGTGGGGTGGGTGGGAGGGTGTGTTTGATGTCTCGCTCATCAGAACTCCCCACCGTGCGCTCGCTGTCAAACTCTGTCCCATTCAGATGTAGACAGCAGCAGCTGTGCTGCAAGCCACAGGCAAAATTATAGTTTACATTGTTGTGTTGACTTTTTTATTTGAATTTATTTGTTCTTGCAATGGATGGATAAACAGTAGCTGAGGACTCATCCTGAAACTATTGAAATATTACCTGTCGTCTTTTTAGAGCAAGATCACCTTTATGTTGAGAAATGATTTTGGTTCATTAGGTTGATGCAAAACATTAGGGGTGCACCAAAAAATCCTTTTACATTAGAATCGTGATTCTCATTTTCAAAGATTCAGAACTGATTTAAAATGTCCCAAAATCGATTTTTATTTTTAAAAAATTAAGCAAATCCAAAGGCTGTCAACCGCCATTTTGTAACTACATGGGACGTCCTGGAAAGAGAGATTCAACTGGCCCTGTCTTCACTGAATGCAAAGATTTGGACTCATTTGACATGTGTGAGGTTTGCAAAATGAAGATGAAGCACTTTGGGAATGCGACAAATGGGCTCATGTTATCAGTTTTGAATGAAAAATCGATTTTGAATCGAATCGTGGCCCCAAAAATCTGAATCGWATCGTGAGAGAGTAAAAGATTCCCACCTCTACCAAACATGGCACCTATAAGTTAAGTTGTTATTTTCTGAGAGAATATTCTAAAAGCCTTGGATCTATACTGTACAGTGAATCTGAGTGTGGATTCAGCCACTACACCTCCACTCCAGCTGCGTACAGCTGTTACTGGGAGTTGTTTACAGCCAGCTGGCACACAGAAAACATGGTCAACATGCAGCAGAAGGAATGAGCTGTCAGACCAGCGTGCAGCGGTGGAGCACTGAACTCGTGCTCATCTCAAACCATCCCTTTCTGCAAAGCTGACGTGTTGGTGATGGCTGTTTTCTCTATTAAAACCCAGAGTTGATGACAACCTTGTCAACTTGCATGTGTACAGTTTTTCTTTGGGTGCCAGTGTGACTGAGTGTGGTTGTATTTTCACATTTCCCGGCACTCTCAGTACTTTCCTCCTGTCTCCCTACAGGCCGAGCAGGATAGATCTGACTAAAGTGCTGCCAGTCACAGCAGCAGATGCTCATGTTTCCTCTGCTCTCCCCTGCCTCCCCACACATCAGTGCGGTGGCAGGTGTGTCTGTGTGTGCGCGTTTTGTGTCCTGGCAGGACGAGATGCTCTAATCAGGCTGCCAGCAGCRTGTGTCAGAGAAGCAACCGTTTGTGTGTTTACATAGTGCATCGGTGTGGCGCCAGCAAAATATAAAATCAGCTCTTGGAAAKTGTTTAAGTCTGCATTAAGTGTTTTTATTTCATACAAAAAAAAGTAATTGCAAAGGGAGACATATGTGCTCTGCGTGTGTCTGARAGACTGAGTCAGAGATTTTATATGTAGTAATTAATCTTTTCTCCGTCCATCCGTTTTAGGTAGTCTACCTGGATTTACTTGTCCAAATTATTACTGCGTCAGATTTTATTCCACAGAAAAGCCTGTATTTCACAGTTCTAACAAAACTCRGAGTCCGTGAAACTAAAACAAATGAAATACGCAGTATAATCTTGTGGGAGTTTGACTGTTCTGTGTGTATTTGTCCTCAAACAAATTAATTAATGGATTGAAACTTTTAGGAATTAATCACCGGATGTTAATCTGTAACTGAWTAACTTTTCCACTCAGTTCTATATGGCTGCCACAGCTATTTAAAATGAACTATTACAAAAAATAGCTACAACTCAGCCAGTTTTCCAGATACTGGKCTAAAATTTGAYGTGATTGTAGCTAAAAGTAATTTAAAACACATACTATGAGCATGTTATCATGTGATACTGAGTGCATTCAGACACATTATTTTTAAGGTTTGACCAAAACAGCTATAGGACTCTGGCATGTCTCAACATTGTCTTAGTCCATTACTCTGTGGAGTGAATAATAATAATGGCAGGTATTATTTTGTTTATGGTTGCTATGCTTGTAATTTTAGGCTCAATTCTATTTTTTCTGTAAACGACATCAAAACATAATAAAAAAAAAAAGGCACAAAAATCTTGATTGTAGTGGGAGTTTTTCTGTTTGCMTGTGATCTGGATTGTAGGCACAGAGCTAGTGACTCTTGATAACTAGACCATAGTGATATCTAACACGGGTGATTTTTGTGGGAATGTTAATTTTAGGCATTTTTAACCAAACTGTGCAGCTGTTGGAAGGTAATTATTAACCTGTGAAGTTATTTCTGTCTTATAGATTGCTTTATAAATTACATGAACCTTAATGTCTCGACAACAGCATTACTCTGTAACTACTGAAGAATTCCTCTTAGGTGATCTGAGGCCTAAAGCTGTCCACCATGAACCAGGCATTGATTGTGATAATTATCCATTATAGAGTCCAGAAGATGTTCTCCTTAGTCATTCTGCGGCAGCTTGCTGACATCAGACTTTTWTAAAGCAGCTCATTAAGAGACMAYRTKGTCTCTTAATGAGCAGTGTAAATGAAACATATTTAGTTCATGTGACACTTTCAGTTGTAAACATTCAATAAACAATGCAAGATGTTTCCAGTTCTTGCTTTGATCATGGAATGGACATAAAAGAGCATTTAAAGTGGAAGAAGTTGCAGCAGCTGCTGCCCTTTGACCTTAAAACCTACTTGTTGCAGAGCTTCTCATTACTGGATGTTTGTTTTTCCGTTAGTGTGCTCAGATGTAAAGAATTAACTGTTTTTTAACTGTTTGCTCAGAGGAGTCAACAGGTCCAGTGAAATCCACCTGCAGAGAAATCTCTAAGATAAATTAACTAACTACTGGTTGAATTTAGCTTCTTTGTTAAACGTGTAGTTTCTTTGTGTATGCAGTGCTGTGCAAACTTCAAGCATCCCTCAAATCGTTAGATCTTCTTTTTAAGGAAGTGTAAAATACACACAAACCAGTAAAATGTTTATTTCATTGAGGCTAAAATCAGGCTTCCTACAATATTGCTTAAAAAACACATTAAAAAAAMCTTTTTGTTTCTTTTTTTATCTATGACGAAATGACAGGAGACTGACATCACATTTCCCACTCAGCTAATGCAACTTAGTGGCTGCTGGCATCTCAGTCTGCAGACAGTGTGCCCATACATGTGCAGCAAAAAGACCACCATGACCCCAACTGTCAGCACAGATTTTCTTCAAATATATATATTTATATATGAGGGCTTCTGCATGGCTGTTCATCTTGGCCTACAGTAATCACACACACAAAGATAAATCTTCATTTTGCTCTCCGACATTAGCGCTGAGGTCCAGCTGTCTGTTAAAGTTAAAGTTAACACATTACCTCCCAAAGAAGAACCACAGCTGAGATGAAGTAACCTTGTTTCAGACGAGTTTTAGCCCCGAGCAGCTACTATGAGATGGAGTAGACACTGAATGACTAATCTCAAACCAGATCTTTGTTGTCAATTAACTCAAAGCCAACTGTTTATGCACATATTGTTTTTCCRAATAAAATAAAGATTCAAAATTATTATTATTTTTTTAAAGTGTTGATGTAGAGAGGCTCATTTTCTGGAGTCAATGCAAATTTTCTCATAATATAGTTGTTTATTTGTGCTTGGGACAGTGTTTGTTACTGTGAGGCACCAATGATTCTACAATTAGTTCAGTCAACAGTGGATCATGAACTGCTGGGATCATGTTTAAAGTTTCATACAAACTAATAAATACAAACCAGTAATTCTGCMTGCAGTTCATAATCAAACTTTGTTTCACCATTTTGATGCTTCTGACTGTCTTGTTTAACCTCAAAGCAACAATATTTATTCAGTAATTCATCAAATCAACCCTACTCAGAAAAAAGTTTGCTCCTTTGCCCCATCATCAGATTTCGTCTTTTTGCGTGTTTTCTGTGGCTTGGTACCCTTAAAGCTCCTCCCATCAGCTGGAAACAGATGGATTTCATATTTCCCCTGGGAAATTAATAGTACAGTGCATTTCTGGACCAGATACAAATTAAAAACTGGGCCCATTATAAACCCATTAACCTAGTCATTAGGATCTAGGGGAAAGATGGAATACGTGGGTGTCTAATTTTAGTGCGACGCTGTCACCACTGATCCCAATCCGTGCCTTTAGGTAACATRGAGGAAAAGAAGTATTATTTTTTTAACTTGGCCCGTTACGTCAAACCTGACCGTAGGTTCACATGTCATGATTTCAGCTACATCTATTTGTTTTTAGGACCATCTTGTGCAAACATGAGCAGTTTATAAATCAGTGAAGCTAATCTCATGAATCCCTTGAACAAATAMATTTTTATGCTAAAAGTAGTCTGATTTTTACTTTCTTTTGTTTCATTYAGAGGCTGGCAACAGAAGCGGAACAGTTTCAAAAGCTACACGAGTGGACAGTCCACAGTGAGGTGAGTGGCCACAGCACAGTCTGATATGTTAATATAAGATGTGTTCCACACAGACCAAGTGGTGCCGTGAACGACATATGATCCGAGRGAAGTGTTAATAACAGTCCATTATATTTGTGATAATTACAAACCTCATTACACTAACAATACTATTTTAATAACTGTGATAAAGATGGAATGATATCTTATCCAACAGGCTGAAAAATACCAGGCATGGTCATGATGAACTTAACACACACGCTGATCTTTTCCATTAATCTGAATATTAAYAATCCATTAAATGAGTGCTCACGGCTGATAAAATGAACTTATTAAATAATTTGATCACATTCACGCTCAGTGGTTGTAATAGGTTTTTATGCACTGCAATCCTGTGTTTTACCTCCAGATTGTTTTCACTTTAAATGCAAAATGTCTTTTTTTTCCTGATGCCTTTTACAAATGACTGATACTTGAAAAGAATTCAACTTTGCCTTTTAATACAATTAGTTTTCAAAGTTTCCCCAGAGATGTTCCAACCTTAATCACGAAATGTTTCTTTATTATTTAAAGTCATGCATATTTTCTTGTTCTGAAAAATAAAAGGAGAAACTGCATCGCTGGGGATGGTTTGATTTATCTACTATGTAACAAAGTTTGACAAATTTTGTCTTGTTACTTCATAAAAGCAGAATTTTCTGACATATTATGAAAAGACTTAATGTTTGGGAATACTTTTTTATGAAATAGCTTGTGTAAAAAATTATATAATACTTTAAAACTGTTAATGAGTTATTAATCCTTAGGACATCATGGGTGTATTTTTTATTTATCCTAAAAATTAGATGTAGACTCTGTGTTGACCAAAGGTTAGTAGTTCTGTCCTATTCTAGCCTTCATATGTACAGTTAGTTAAAGTATGTAGGTGGATTTTATTTGTAAAGCTTATGTATTAAGTCTGATAAATTGGCTGTTTGTTGTTTCTCTGATTGATTAAATTTCTTCACTAAAGGAGTCTTGCTGAAGTTTGATGCTGCTGCTTTGCCGGTCAAATTAGTCTTTTTAATTTGCAACAATTTTAAAATGWTTTCATCAATTAGGGAATATAAATCTACCCAGATTAACGTGGCCCTATGTGGAAACTACTGGTTGTAGATGAACATTTGCAATAACTGGCATCAAGTCCTCCATGTGGAGTAATACTGCTGCTGCAGAACTCAAGCTTGTGCTTAAACCAGGTGTCCAATCCTGGGGCCTCATGTATAAATGGTGCATACACATAAAAAAGTTACGTGCGCCAGGTTCTACACCCACGTTGTGATGTATMAAAACAAACGTTGTGTGAAAGTGTGCGTATATTTACGCGCACTTTTCACCTGCCATGAGAATGTKCAGCAGCCACGCAAAGTTTTTCAGTCGAACAGTTTTAACCCACAAAGTCATGAATCTGACCTRAATCCACAGAAATATGACTTTGTTGTGTTTCTGGATGTAAGGAGCATCTGAACATGGTGTAAGATTTTTTTTTTAGTTTGAGTTTTACTGTTTGAACTCGAACGATCATGAAACTGAACCCAGGACTGAAAATCGTTTAACCTCAGACAAGAAAAAAGATCAGTCTAAAAATGATCAAAAGAACCTCAGCCCAGTCTACTGTAAATTGTTTTATATTTTTGTCACATAGTTGAAAACCTTTTGGGTCCCGGGCCAGAAATACCCGACGCATTACGTGCGGCATAAAAAAATAAAATAAAGGCTAAAGAGAGGGAGCTAAATCGGATGCAAATGGTGGCTCACTGTACAGTAAGAATAATTATTTTTTCTGTTTGTAGCCTTCTGGCTGATGCTGAGTGTAGAGCTGTGGCCGGAGCGCAGCAGGCTCGCGCTTTGGGTATTTGTGCCAGGCGCGTGCGCACCCTCGTCAGCYGGGAAGGTGTTCATATGTGTCAACCCCTTTGGACGTCATTTACCTGTCTAATGAGCCTCAAAAATCTATAGTTTTTGCGAAAAATCCGTAGACTACCACTCGTACCCGGGCGTGGGGGTGGGGTCCGTGGAGATGAACGTGCCTGTTGTAACGCAGGAGGAGGAAAGGAGAGTAGAAAAAGTTGATAATGTGATTTTTTTTAACGTCCGTTCAACGCCGTGTTCAACTAAATAGACAACAACTAACCAGGCTTCAATATCACATTTGGGAGATGTCTAATTTCAGGAAAAATCTCAGGTTTTGGTAATCCTGTGCAAATGCGCCACATAAAACAATGACACCACGTATTTAGACAGTTTTCTCACTCATGCTCCATTTAATGTGTATTTTTCCTGCATCTAAAAATCATTTCTGATCCCACAGAGAGGACAATCTGAGGAGACTCTCACACGCTGGACACATTTACATCTAAATGGAGGCGTGTCAGGGGATGTGTCTCACGTGCGCTAAGTTCCACATTCATTGGGATGAACATGTGCGCACAGTTTTATACATCGGAATATTTTGTTGTGGCGCACATTTCTAAATTTGTCCATACGTCAACTTTTAGTGTGAAAGCTGAACAATCCTTCATGCATGAGGCCCCTGGTCCTTGAGTGTTTCATATGATTCTCTGTATCAACACACCTGATTTAAATGAGCAGGACTTCCACAGGATATGAGGTAATTCATTTATTTAATTAGGTGTGTAGGGAAACAAGTTAAACATGCAGGATAGTGGTCCAGGAGGACCAGGAATTGATGGAATAATTAATGATTCAGTCTCCTGTTATTAGCTCTTTTGCATGTAAACTGCTGTAAATCTGAAAGCAGATGTTGGCATTTGACTCGGTCTGTTCAGCTAAATAAGTTGTGATGTAATTAAGCTAACACAACAGTAACAGTGGCAGGGACACTTGTGGTGTGTGTGACTCTGGAGCTGGTAGACAGGTGGTGGGAGTCAGTGAACTGGTTCCGTGGCTCCAGGCTAGCTCGTTAGCACTGGGCTAGCATGTGTACTGACMGAAAGCCACAGCAGTGCAGACAACACAATCTCTTCATTAAGTCTCAGTGTGAGACAAAAGTTCAAACTAAATCCACAGTTGTGTTGTGGTAGTAGGTTTATCTTTGCTAATTAGTGTTTTTATCAGGATTAAAGCCTGATTTACATGTTGATATGCTCTCTGCTCTTTTATTGGTCTCATATGATTTGCTCTTTTTTATGTTTTTACTCTCATGCAGATTTATTGTGGGAGTTTCACACATTTCAGTATTTACCTTTTAAATTGTGTTAAATTTACTGTCAGCATTCATTGATAAATATACATTTATATTTATTTTTGTACTTTTATTTTCATACATCACAATATTCATACTTTTATTAAATTCATCATTGGCAAATAAAACAGGATAATGTCTAAACAAAGGATTTAAGTTAAAACTTATTCTTGTTTAATCGTGACATTGACAGAAAAATGAAAAAATGGAATGAAGACTCAAGACACTGGACCCATTTCTGAACCTATTTGTTCAWGTCCATGTCAAAGAAACAAATAAAAAAACTTGTTTTTATTTGTTCCTTAGCTCGGTTCCTGATTAATGAAACAAAAAAGTGAACTTAAATACATTAAATCCTCATCTGTTTTCATCTATTTGTATACAATACTCAAAGCCATAATAGCTGCCAGAATACACACATTTGGGTGGCTGTGGCAGAGTGGTTAAGGGAGTCGTCCTGGAACCGGAAGGTCGCTGGTGTCTCAGTTGTTGTGTCCTTGGGCCAGGCACTTCACCCCTAATGCCTCTGATGTGTGTCCCATCAGTGTATGAACGTGATTGGCACTGATTAGTCTCCATAGATGATTGTTTATGTTAGCTTTGTAGAGACCTGATAAGAGTGCAGTGTGAATGGGTTAATGAGGACACAGATTGTAGTGTGAAGCGCTTTGAGTGTCCTGGATGGATAGAAGGGCGCTATAAACATACAGTTCATTTACCATTTTACACATTTTCACTGTGTTTTTCAGGAAACTTAACTTGTACTGAGCAGGTTTTTTGTAAACAAAGTTGAGTAAAGCAAATATTCCTTACCACTGCTTAAAACTTAAAAAAAAAATGTTGTGATCACTGGTTTGGAATATTTCTGCACACGTTATGATCTTAGAATGAAAATAAGACCACACTTTATATTTTTGCCTTTTTTTTTGATCAAAGTATTTTTTATTATTTTTCAACATAATCCACAATAAAAAACAAACAACAAACTAACAAAAACACAAAAACCCGAAATCCCACCCATCCCACCCCTTCCTATACCGGATCTACTGAACAACAAAAATCGGTCTTGTATTAATACAAGTGATGCAATAAAAAGGTTTGTGTACAATGAAACAATATTTAACATTTACACAAAGTTATCTGCTGAAATTTTTTCTACTTAAGATAAAAATGGCTGCCAAATGTCAAAAAATTTGTTTACAGATCCCCTGACTATATCTAATCTTCTCTAAATGAATGTAAGACATAACTTCTCTTAACCAATGACCATATACTGGAGGATGTGGATCCTTCCATCGAAGAAGAATAAGTCTTCTAGCCAGTAGAGAGCAGAAACCAAACACCGTCCTCTGATGTTCTCTGAGGGAAGCCTCTGCTGGAGCCACCCCAAAGAGAGAGATGAATGGTGATGGATGAACAGTTCGTCCAAATAGTCCTGGAAAGGTATCAAAGATGCCTTGTCAGTATCCATGTAGCTTTGGACAGGACCAGAATGTGTGCAGAAGTGTGGCAGGAGATTGTTTACAACGATCACACGACGGATCCAAGTCCCTTTTGACACTAATTTGACTAAGGCTGCGCTTTTTTGCGCAGGAGACCTTGGCCTCTAAATCCCCCGCTCCCCTGCTGTGAGCCACATAGTGTCTATTATTATGCTAAAGAGGCGCACGCACACCTAGAGACACACCTAACCCTAATCACTGCTCACCTACATGTCCACGCTCAGCCCAACAGTGTGCTCCTACATATCCGGGTCACGGCACCAGAATGTCCGGGTCACGGCACCAAATTTTACAACAACGAAAGATGCTTGTATGTAGATGTTTTTGCAGAGTGTCTGAACCTGGCATTGCGTCATCTTTCAAGGACCAGGCTGGGGATGTGGCTTTTTTCATCATGGCCTTTTCCAGCATAAAACGATGTTGAAATTCCAGTGAAAGGCCAAGTATAAAGTCTCGTCTGCTCTTTTTACAATTTTTTACTGTAGCTCTGAAAATACAGTGGCATCAATGTATGTTCTTTGCAACACACCACATTTTTCAGAGCAAAAACTTGTAAACAAGAGCCCTTGAGAAACAATGTGACAATATCATGAGGCGTGGTGGGCGTRGTGGGTGTGTCTGGATTACCTGCAGGAATTTGTCGAACAAAAGGCCACTAATAGCCCTCAGATTGCTAAGAAGAAGGAGGGGGTTTGTCCTCAGGATCTTGAAATTTCAGTCAAGCTAGTGTTGAATTTGCACAATCTGTCCKTAGACCAGTGTAGACGATGTACTACCTTGAATTGAACTATAACGTGTTTCACACATATTGAGGACAAATATATATTTTGAATAATTTTTTGCAAAACTGTGTCTGATATGGATTCCTCCAAGTCCATCTCCCACTTGCCCCTCAAAGAATCTAAATTGAAGTCAGAAAATGAGCTGAGCAGAGAATAAACTCTGCTCATAGAGCGTTTTGTTACAGACTTACACATCAAAATCTCATCTATAAGAGAAGTTGGGGGGCGTAGAGGAAAACATCCAGAGCTTGACATTACAAAATGTCTCAGTTGTAAATACCTGAAGAACTGTGACTTATGGATGTCAAATTTCTGTGCTAACTGTTCAAATGAGGCGAACTTATTGTCTATATAAAGATCATTTAGAGAAGTTATTCCCTTTAAACTCCAGGTATTGAAAACAGAGTCCATTAGTGAAGGAGCAAACATTTGGTTATTTGATACTGGAGCAGACAATAATAATTCTGTACTTTTAAACAACCTTCTGCGCTGATTCCAGATTTTTATTGTGTGAGTTACAACCGGATTAGAAGTATAAGTTGAGATGGGATGATTAAACGGTAACCGGGAGCAAAGTAAAGCAGAGAGAGAGCTCGCCGTAACTGATTTCCTCTCTAGATTTACCCAAGTAGGAACAGGATTGTCGTCTCTCAACCAGTACAGTAAGGCTCTAATGTTGGCCGCCCAGTAATAATATAAAAAGTTGGGGAGTGACAAGCCACCAAGACCATGGGGTAGCTGTAACATCTTACTGCCTATCCRTGGATGCTTTTTATTCCAAATTTATCTTTTTGCTTTTGACATGTTGTCTCTAATTAGATTGCCCCCCTCTGTCGCACGCTGAGACTGACTGTGTACAAAGTTCAAAAGTAAAAAAAAAATGGTTCTACATGTTCACAAACAAAAACATGACTGTTGATTTCACTCTTTTTGCATGTTATGCAGTCGACTTTTGGCAGTGAATGAAACATTTAGTGGATTATTTTATCAAAGATAAAACTATTTAAATTACAAACGTTAAAAAGTCTTAAACTGTGACAGCTATTAATCATATTGGTCTAAAAGCGTTGCAAAAATTTTCTTTTCTTTCTCCTCATCTCAAAATGAAATTGATCATTCCTCTTCTTTGATTTTTTTTTCAGACGAACAAGCCACTTTACTACAATGCCAAAGATGGTGTAAGTACATCCTGATTAACTTTATGTGATGCAGATTCTTAACAAACCTTCACAAAAAATGTTGATCCTGCTTTATAAAACAGGTACCGTGGCAACAAATAGTAAAATGTTTTATTGAAAGCCTGGTAAAGCTGCCCACCTGTCCCTGCAGACAACAGTAGCTGTTATTTAAAATCTATGTAAAACAYTAAATTATTTTCTTGGCCTCAGACGTCACCTGTCTGCTCTGATGAACAGAAATCTGCATCTTGTTTATTTCCACTTTTCCACAAGGGAAAAAACACCCACCTATCACACATTTATGTCACTCCAGATTTTACTGACAGACCCTCAGCCTTCTGAATTTAACTTTGTTCAGATACAATTTAGTCCTACTGCCTGTAATTTCTGTTTTGCTTCCCAGTATTTCAAATGTAACACTGATTCTCACAATAGATTGTGTCAAAATAATCTGAATTGTTTTTACATTCATGAGCACATGACTTCCAAAACTACACAATGCCCTAAATGATTCTTTTTAATGACTTTGGCCTATGGTTTTATTTTATAATTTTTTCCCCTCAGACAAACAGGACAGCACTAGAGATAGAACAAGAGGAGGATGAAGAAAAGGAGAAGAAGAACCGGTTTATTCCAGATGATTTTGATGAAGACCCAGACTTCAAACGGCTTGTCTCCTACAACACCACTGCTGTCCATATCCCGACTGACATATATGAAGGCTGTAAGTTAAAACACACACACTAAAGCAATGCAGTCTCATCCCTCATACTGTGTTCTGCCCATATTTGACCACTTCAGAGGTTTTACTTAAACACATTTGTTGCTTGTAAGTCAAATCTCCCATCTTTGAGGGCCTCTACCMGTCATGCTTTCTTGTTTCCCTGCTCAAACACACCTRTTTTGCCTGAATGAATAATTACCGGTCTCTGCAGAATTTGAAAAGGTAACTGAATCACTGACTCAGGTGCGTTGAAGCAAAGAAATAAGGAAAACAAGCTGGATAGCAGCCCTCGAGGACCTGAGTTTGACACCCATGTTCTATGAGAATCATCCCTAAACCAAATTGCGCACCCTCAAGAAACATTGTCCCAGTTCTATTAAGAAAGAATAAATAAATATATCCCTGGTGTATAAAGAGTCTATTCAAGTACTTGCTCACATATCTCTAGCAGCACAATGACCAAATTATTTACTGTTCTTAAACCTCTCTATCATTATAAACGATAGTGCACTGTTCAGTAAAAAAAACTGAAAAAATAAAGATCTAACATAGTATTAGGTGATAATTTATAAACCCTCTTGTAACACAGGACATAGAAATACTCATTGCACTGTATATTTGTGTCTGTCTGTTAAAGTCATGTCAAATTTCTGTTTAGTTTTCCTTCTTTAAATGGCCTCAGAGTTTAAGTAGAATAAATTTGGCAAGCTGTTGATGATYTGACATTCTGATCAAATTCTTGATTGAACAAATATCAGCCTTTCTCTTCCTCAGTCATCGCTAGAACTGGTATCTAGAGTAAACTTGCATGATGTGGAACTCAGGCTTTAAGCACTGTCTGCATTGTAGACAGCTCTACAAGAAGTCAGTCGTGTCTATAAATAGTCAAAATTCCAACTATCAAGTGGTCGTCCCACTCTGGTCCCCTCTTCACCCTGCTCCCCAGCTGCTCCTTTCCCTCATGTCAACTCCACCAACTTTAGTTGGCAGTTTCACAGCTTGTTAGGACTTCCAGCATTGATAGTTGTTTTTTTTTTTCTAGAGATGAATAAGGAATGATCTGGAGAAGCTCTTATTTTTTCTGGTCTGTTTGTCTCACATTTGTAYTTTCTCTTGCATGAGTAGAATATCTTCAAATGAATCACTCTTTTGGTGGTCACATCTCACCAAATCTTGAATTTACAATTTTCAACCAGTCATGCAACACAGAAATATCTCTCATTGGCTAGTTTTATATATTTATGTAAAAACACTTGTGGTCCACGTAGAATGACTGACTCAAAGGACCAGATGATCCTTTACTTTTCTTTAAACTACGATTGTCAAATGATTAATATTTTTAATCTGATTAATCCCAAAGTAGCTGTGAATTAATCATGATTAAT